ACTGACCAACACACCACACTCCACCTCTCCTCTTCAATCTTCACCAGATGTTTATAAATTACTTTAGTTTGCATAAAGAGTTTTTTATCGCCAATTTAATTCCAGAACACAAAAAATTCAGTTTCAAGCAAGAAATTGTTTTTTTTTATTTAAAATTATACGAATTATTTTTTGTTTTCCTATAAATTTTTTACCTCCCATCTAAATTAACCTTTTCGCAACTCGAGTCTACGCACAGGCCCTGCCTATGTAGACTTTTTCCTTTGTTATAGAAGGTATTTTTTTGCCCTTTTTTCGCTTTATTTCTACAGAATATAATTTCTGTTTTGTTATCTAGTTAGTAATGTTTGCTGTATTATATTTAAGTAAAAAAAAAAAAAAATACAATGTACTTATTTGTATAATTTATGGGAAATCATTCATGAAGAAAGTGCATTGCTTCAAACCCTAAGTAATCACAAGGGACAATACAAAGTAAAACGTCTCATGTTTGGAGTCAAGACTGCATCTTTGGCAAATATTTATGGACAAGTTACTTGGAAATCTAGACTGAGTCTCATGTTTTTACCGCGGGTCTCATGGTAAGACCTAGGCCCGGGACCGATTTACTTTTTCATTTTGTTGTCCCCAGATGCCAAAAACACTATTTGCTCAAATTTTTATATACCTATGTAGGCCTATAAGGGTTAGTAAAAAGTCTGGAAACCCCTTGTTAATTTTTTAACGGCCCATACTAGAAAAACTAAACTCGGCACACCTTTATGGCATGTTATGAAAAACAGTACTTTTTGGGCATAACCCCCACTTGGTGTACATCCCCAAAATGGGGGATTTTGGGGGAAACTCAAAAATTTCAAATGGTAAGACCCATTGAGCGACCCCTAATTTTGAAGGTCCTGGTAAAAGAAAACCAACAACACAAACTATCTCAATCCAGTAAAAAATGGCAGCCAATATATATATGTGTGTGTGTGTCCGTGAACGCGATAACTTGAGTACCTAATTTTTGTCCGATTTCGATTAAATTTGGCTTGAAGGTGTAAGGCAGGATAAACTTGAATGAGTAAGGCAGGATAAACTTGAATGAGTTCGCAAACCAGCATGATCGGGCTCTGGGGACAGGGTTGTATGGGGTGTTTTATGAAGTAAAAATTGTTTTTTCTAATTTTTTACCCTCAAAACAAAAAAAATCCTAATTTCTCTCTAGACCATAAAGAGCTTAAAAAAACAAATAATTTAGTATGTTAAAGTTTTTTGGTACGGTTATTAGAAAATTCAAAAAATATTGTAAATTGTTGTAGTTTGCTTGTTTGTGGATATATTTTTATCAAACTTGGCAAATTTTGCTATTTTACACTAGGCTATTAATATTTTACTCAAAATACACTTTGTTAGCGTCCCTGTGGACTCAAAACCTAGATACTCTTTAACCTTATGGTATTGAAATAGATTAAACTGAAAATCAAATCAGGCAAATGGAAATTCGCTTATTCTGCAGGTTTGCTGCGGCAGGAGTATTTGATAACATTATACTTCTATTTATATTATTCTTACTTTATTTTTAAATTGGTTAAAGGATTAATTATTTAGGTTGCCTACTAATCATGCTTTAAAATTTATTTGGAAAGTTAGGTTCATAACAATACTATATACAAACGATTCTATTTTATTCTTTCAATTTAAAGGATTTAGGAATTTTTCAATTAGGATTTGGATTTTTCAATGGAAGTTCCTAGATTGCTGTACTAAGAAGAAGTCAGTTTAAAGAATAACGAGAATTGTTCGTAAGTTATTTGATACTTACTTGATACTTGTAGGTATTCCATTAGTAGCACGGGTGTGCCATGGTCGTCAAAGTTTTGGCCTATTCTTGATTTAAAAACTCTTCTACTGAGTAGTAAGGCCTAGTGGTTAAATATTCTTTAAGCTTGGATTTAAACTTCTCCACATCTTCAATTTCCCTTATGCCTGCTGGAATTTTATTGTAAATTCTTATGCATGTAGGTCTTGGTCCATCTCTCACTAAACTGGATGAAACTTGTGGTACATGTAACATTTCCTTCTGCCTCGTTAAATAGTTATAGATTTGTTGATTTTTCGGAAAATGTTCTGGCTTCCTTTTAACTGTCACTGCAGACTCAAGAATGAACAGAGCAGGCAGTGTGAGTATTTTCAGTTGTATAAAGATTGGTTTACAATGTGATAAGTAAGGTTTTCTCACAATTGTTATTACTATGCGTTTTTGAAGCAAAAATATACGCTCCGCCAAAGGACTATTCCCCCAAAATATCACACCATAATTCGTTATGCTATGGAAGCATCAAAAATAAACTTTCAACAGTACAGCTTGATCAACTATCAATTGCAGCCTACGTACCATGTGACACACAGCTTTCAGTCTTGCTGCTCATGAACTGCTACCATGTCACTGGCTATTGTCAGACCAAGATACTTAATAGAGTCATCTACAACAATACTAGCTGCCTCAAGGCGAAGTAGTGGGGTGCTTTCAGGCTTCTTACGGTTGTAGAATTGTATAGCCTTAGTTTTACCCCTATTCAGTATAAGATCGTTTTCTTTACACCATACGCTCATTTCATTTAGGCCAGTTTGCGCCTTGTCTCTTAGCCTACCCAGGTCACTGTCCTGCACTAAAGTGACTCACATCATCAGCAAAGAGCCACACTTTACCTTTAGTTAAAAAATCAGGTAAATCATTGACATAGATCAGAAACAATACTGGTCCAAGGTTGGAGCCTTGCGGCACTCCGGTGTTTATGACAGGGGAAACTGTAGAACGGTAGTTTCTAGTTAGTCCATCAGAGCCTGAATATTTTATTGTTATAATCTGGTGTCGGTCCTGTAGATAGGTAGAAATCCATTGGAGTGGCTTACCTTTAATTCCAATATTTGTCACTTGGGAGAGAAGGTCAAAGGCCTTTGTCATGTCATAAAACAAGCACAGGGATTCTTCCAACACATCCAGGTTGTCATGTACGGAGACTAATAAATCAAAAATTGCATCAGCTGTTGAACTGTTTTTTCTAAATCCATATTGTTGTGGCGATAAAAGATTGTTATGTGATAAAAAAGGATTTAGTCTTTTAAGGAAAATTATTTAAAAAATCTTAGAAAATGTACTTTGGACCGCCACTGGCCTGTAGTTTTTTACTTGACCTTTCTCATCCTTTTTGTGGATAGGAATCCTTGGATGTTTTTAGTTTACTAGGAAAAACTCCATTTTAAAAGGATTTATTTATGATTTTAGCAAGTGGTTTAGCAATTGATTCTTTTTATGACTTTATGAGGAAGCAAGGGATATCATCTACTCCAGAGCTTTTTGTAAGATAACCTCCATTACCTCACTTTCAGTAGTAGGCCATAAGCGGAAATCCTCCGCACCATCACCAACACCCGATATCAGAGGCTCCTCTTCACTTGTTCCAGTCAGTTTTAATACCTCTTCTACAAAGTAATTATTAAATACATTTGCAACACTAACTGGATTAGTTATGTGCTCGTCATTCAGTTTCAAAGTTAAATTAACATTATTTACAAAATTATCATCACAAGTTAAACTTTTTACTATCTGCCAAGATTCCTTGCTAACATTTTTAGCATTACCTATTTTAGAATTGTAGAACTCTTTCTTGGTACTATTTAGGAGTTTGGCATGTTGATTTTTAGCATTCAAGTATTCTGTTTTTGAATTAGTATTAGGCCTATTCAAAAATGTTGTGTAAAACTCGTCAAAAATAAAATCCACACTCGGATTTTCGTTATCAATTTGCCAGTCTTGAGTTGCCATCATTCTTGCAAACAGTTCCAGAGATGAGCTATTATTTTCCTCTTCTCAATGGTTTTCTTGATAAGGCTGTGTCTCATGGCGGGATTAATTTTGAGGTACAAAATATTATGGTCAGACAGTAAGGCTGGCAGTGCCCCAGAAACATATCAGCTTTCATCCAAACTAGTAATAAAATAATCAATCTGTCTAATACTTTCCTCTGTTACTCTGGTAGGGGTTTTTAAGGATAGGCTACATGTAGGCCATATGAGTTTATCATACTCAGAGTATCGTCTAGGATTTCAATAAAAATTAGAAAGTTTTCTTTTTGAGGTGGTCGATAAACATTAATCAAAACTATTTTATTTTTACCAGTAGTAACAGCTATCCCACAGCATTCAAAAATATTTTCCAGAGATTTAGAATATAAGCTATTTATGGGGTTTACTTTAAGTCTGGTATCCATTAAAGAAAATATTGCCACGCCACCACCTAACTTGTTTTTCCTTGTCTGGAGTTACAGTCACAGTCAAGAGAGCTAGTTCAAATCTGAGACATAGCAGTCTTTACCTCATCCACTACAATTCTCTTAATGGGTCTTGTGTCTTCTTCTCTACTCAATGGGTCCAATTTGTCTTGTCATAGTATTTGGAAACGTTGTAAAACAAAACTAATGCTCCCTCCAAGTATAAATTACGTTCTGTGATTAGATTTCTGTGGTCTCCGTCATCAACCACCATTTAAGTCCCTCACCAGTTGACGAGCAGGAATGGAGTAAAGTGTTTGGACGTAGAAAACAAGTTTAAAGGATGGTGTCAGTTGAAAGGTGGTCGTAAACATTTGCATGAAGTTTTCAATGTTGTAGGCTGACTGCTTTTGTTCATCAGTCTTGCTTGAGGCAGTGGAAAGTTAGGGGAATTCTACTTGCAGATTGTGGTGTGTCGGAACGATAGAAGGGCATCTCTACAAGCACTAATACTGTAACAACGGGTGCTGGATAGAATAGTAGTGGATGAAGTAAAGATCTTAAAGTTGGTCTCATGTTTTTACTACTAGCTGAACCAGCTCGCTTTTCAGTGACCTTGATTTGGGCAGATAAACGGACCATTTACAGGTGATCCACAGTCAAATAAGTAAGGGCTCACTGTATTAACTAATAAGAGCCCTATATATAGTTAGGTTTTGAAGCTTTTTTTTTAAAGTTCTCTTTCAGTTGCAGGATTCATTCATAATCCATGATGGCGACGGATCATTTTGGTCCAATAACTTTAAAATGGGACCCAAAAAATTTAGAAATCAGGACCATGTCAGTGGAGAAGACCTTGGAACCGCTTGTTCTTCAGGTAGGCCTAATAAATACAAAACTTTAAATTTTTGTTGGATAAAGACTGTTTTCTTTTGAGTCCTAGTAGTAAAACAACCAACTGAATGGGCCTACTTGGCTTGTCAGTAACACATGAACAAGTTTTTGTGATTACAAAAGTGATTAATTTATTATTAACTTAAATAATGAAAAAATTTTATTAGCAAATTTCCCATATAGGGAATAAGCTATTACCGTAGTACTCATGGTAAGACCAGGACCCGGACCGATTTAATTTTTTGTTTTGAGGTCCCTAGAAGCCAAAAACACCATCCACTCAAATTCATATACAGTAGAGTCCCGCAAACTCGGCGTAATGTGGACTGGAAGGGTGCCGAGTTTGTGAAATGCCGGGTTATCGGGAACTAGGGTTAAAAATAAGAACAATACAGTTTTTAAGCTTTTTAACTGCCTTACAAGTCAGTATTACAAGTCAGTATTAAGTCATCAGATATAGTACAACAAATCCTTAATACCAGTTGCGAATAATTTGACTTAAGCTGGCTTGAGTCCATGATTAACTAGCACTCAAAAAATCACTAATTTTCTGAGCCAGGTGATAACCGAGTTATCCAGACTGCCGGGTTATCGAGTGCCGAGTTTGCGGGACTCTACCGTATATATATATGTCCGTTTGCACGATAACTCGAGCAAAAATGATCCGATTTTTATGAAATTTGGTAAAAACGGCTAAACCTACGTTTGTTCCAACGAGTTTGCGAACCAGCATAATCAGATAATGGGAACAGGGGTTTATGGGCGGTTTTATGGGGTAAAAATGGGGTTTTCCCATTTTTGACCCTTTAAACAAAAAATTTTGCAATTTCTTGTTTAAACCGTTTTGTAGAGCTTAAAAAAAATAATTTAGTTTATTGAAGCGCTGTTGTATGCCTAATAGTCACGGAGAAAATTCAAAAATAGTGTATTAAAAAACTCCTATGTTATTCTTATGGAGAAAATGAAAACTGTTGTAGTTTACTTGTTTATGGATTTATATTGATAACATTTGGCAAATTTATTTATTTCATCCTACACTATTGACGTATGGTCCAACAACACTTTTTACCTTCCCCGTAGCAGCAAACCTAAGCACTCATTAAATCTAATGTTATTTAAACTGGGAATAAATATGTCTTAATTATGGAAATGTTTTAGTAAAAATGTAATCAGGCAAGTGGAAATTCGCTTAGTCTGCAGGTTTGCTGCGGCGGGGGTATTTTTAAATATGACAAAAATTTCATGTTTATTTCAAGCTTGTAGACTTGATAATTTAGGCCTATAACATTCTTTTATGTAATAGGTTACTACCTTGGTTAATACCAAAGGTCCTTCAAAGAAGAAGAAGGGTCGATCCAAAAGAGCACATGTTCTAGTTGCTGCTGTTGAAAAGGCAACAGAAAACTTTATTGAAAAAGGAGAACAAATAGCTTATGAAAACCCAGATATAAAACAAGAAATGCTCTCTGCTGTAGAAGAAGTCCGAAAAACAGGTATGTACGGTTATTAGGCCTTCTGTTGATACAAAATGTATCTATATAAAGAAAATTAGAGTTTTGTCTGTACATTGCTCAGAATTATATATTTCTAGGTTAATTATACGTTTTATACATTAAAGAAGCTGAAACAAGTCTTATCTCTATTTCTGTCTGTGTGTCTGTCACGGCCCAATAGGCATTTTACGCGGTCTTCTCCTGAAAAACGAGAGTAGGGGGTACCTATCAAGATCCAAATCATTTTAGTTAATGTATTCATTGGATTGGCGAGAGTGTCTTTGGAAATTAAAATATGTCCTCACTACTTTGTAAATACAGTAGAACCTTGATAACAAGACTCTCATGGGGATTGTAAAATAAGACTTGTTATCAAGGTTGGCTTCTTATCGAGGTTTGTAATAACATGTGATTAGGGGTAAAAAAGTTTTAAGGGGATTTGAAAATGACACTTGTTATCAAGGGCGACATGTTATCGAGGGTCCACGCATGATACTCGCAGGCTGTCCGCAGGTCCGCTGTATGGTCTTGTAAGAGGGTGTTTAGCGAACATGCGCTCGCCATCGACTGTCTTAATAATCCTCTACTGTCCACCGGTCTCGGCTTCTCCCACCACCGCTACGTCAGCGCCCCGAGGTCGCGGCGGCCAAGTCACGAACTAGGACACTTGACAATTGACCACTGGACATTTTTACTTCCGATCATTGTTGTCGAGCGCGCTTGAATCGGTCGTGTATATAATTTAAAAAAACACCCCTAACACAATTTGACCTTTACAAGCATAATCGGACCATTGGAACGGGGGTTTTATGGGGTAAAAATGGATTTTTCCCATTTTTGACCCTAAAAACAAAAAAATTTGCAATTTATTTTCTAACAATTTCGTAGAGCTTAAAAAAAGAAATAATTTAGTATATTGAAGCGCTGTTGTATGCCCAACGGTCATGGAGAAAATTCAAAAATAGTGTAATTTAAAATTCCCATGTTATTCTAATGGAGAAAATAAAAACTGTTGTAGTTTACTTGTTTATGGATATATGTTGATAAAATTTGGCAAATCATCTTATACTATTGACGTATAGTCAAAAAACACTTTTTACCTTCCCCGTGGCAGCAAAACCTAAGCACTCGTTAAATCTAATCCTATACTCTAATACGAGCAATGAATGCTTGCTTGCTTGCTTGCGGAAAGATCTCGAAAACGGCTCCGACGATTTTCTTCAAATGTTGTTAATAGTTTATTTTTGGCATGAAAACGAGATTACTGCAGTTAGAACTGCCAACAAAAATCTAATTACATAGAAAAATTTAACTGAAAGTCATATTTTTTTAACATTAGTCTTATGGGTTGCTAAGTAACCATGTTGGTTGAATTAAATAACAAGGAAAAAGTAAACAAAAGACTTGTAAGTTGTAACACATGTGTTCATAAAGGCATCTACCCACAGTATACTAGAAATTACAAAATACAGTACAAAAGCAAAAACATCACTTGTTACTTGAGCAATGATTATACTGAAGCTTACTCGATACATTCTAGTAATGACTAACTTAGCAGTGCGGAGTGTGGGATCTGTTATGACGATTAGATTAAGGTAGATTTCCCATCCTTATGGAACAGCTGAAGCAAATTGTATTGTTAGTTCTGTCCGGTTTCCTGTAGATGTCGTGCTTTGTTTACAATTTGTTTCTTGTTATTTCAGTAATTTAAAACCTCGTTTAACCAAATAATACTATTTAATCATAAACGATAACTCGTTCACTATATTACCGTGCTATATTACTATATTACTAATAATTACTATATTACTATCGTTGGCTATATAACCAAACAGTGAGACACAAAATGAGAAACTAACCCTAAAATAATAGAAACAAATTGTAAACAAAACACAACATCTACAGAAAACCAGACAGAGCTAACAATAAAAGTGGCTTCAGCTGTTCCATAAGGATGATAAGGTATCTGCAATCCTAAAATGCTATGGGAAGGTAAGGAAACAGGTCCGCGACGTAGGAGGTGGTGAAGGAAGTAGTCAATGCGAGCTATCCAGAGTGCGGGAACTGTTTATGACGATTAGATTAAAATATCTGCATTTCTAAAATGCTATGGGAAGGTAAGGAAACAGGTCCGTGACGTAGGAAGTGGTAAAGGAAATAGTAAAGGTGAGCGGTCCAGAGTATGGGAACTGTTTATGACGATTAAGTTAAGGTATATACAATCCTAAAATGCTATGGGAAGGGAGGGAAACAGAGGTCCGCGACGTAGGAAGTGGTGAGGGAAATAGTAAAGGTGAGCGGTCCGGAGTGTGTGAACTGTTTATGACGATTAGATTAAGGTATATACTTACTTACTTACTTACTTACTCCCAGGGCCATTTATATCGGAGGTGATATTTGGCCGCACCAACAAATCTTCGCCAAGTTAACCGGTCTTTCGCATCATCCTCCGTTGCCCCAATTCTCTCCAAATCTTCTTGCACTTGCTTCCACCACCTCTGCTTAGGTCTTCCCCGGGGTCGTCTTCCTGTAGTGTTTCCCCTTAAAACTCTTCCCAGTCTACAAGATTAAGGTATATACAATCCTAAAATGCTATGGGAAGGGAGGGGAACAGAGGTCTGCGACATAGGAAGTGGTGAAGGAAGTAGTAAAGGTGAGTAGTCCGGAGTGTGGGAACTGTTTATGACGATTAGATTAAGGTATCTACAATCTTAAAATGCTATGGGAAGGGAGGAAAACAGGTCTGAGACGTAGGAAGTGGTGAAGGAAGTAGTCAAGGCGAGCAGTCTGGAGTGTGGGAACTGTTTATGAGGATTAGATTAAGGTATCTGCAATCTTAAAATGCAATGGGAAGGGAGGGAAACATGTCCAAAACATAGGAAATGGGGAAAGAAGTAGTAATGCTTTTTAGCAGTGCGGAGTGAGGGAAATGTTTGTGGCAATTAGATTAATGTATTTAAAGTACTAAAATGCTATGGAAAGAGATGACAACATGTCCACGACGTAGAAAGTAGTAAAGTTTAGCATCACAGAGTGTGGGAACCGTTTGTGGCAGTTAGATTAATGTATCTGTAATACTTAAATGCTATGAGAAGGGAAGGAAACAGGTCCATGACGTAGGAAATGGTGAAGGAAGTAGTAAAGGCTGGCATCGCAGAGTGGGGGAATGATTTCCCCCGAGCAAAGCTCGGTCCACGGGTAGGTACTGTAATTTAAATGGGGAATAAATATGACTTATTTATGGAAATATTTTTGTAAAAATGTAATCAGACAAGTTGAAATTCGCTTAGTCTGCAGGTTTGCTGCGGCGGGGGTATTTTATTTATATTTATATTACAAGTCAATATTAAATCATCAGATATAGTACAATAAATCCTTGGTAAGAGTTGCGAATGATTTGACTTGAGTTGGCTTGCGTCCATGTTTAACTCGGACTCAACAAATCACTAATTTTCTGAGCCAGGTGATAGCCGAATTATCCAGACGGGTTATCGAGTGCCGAGTTTGCGGGACTACTGTATATATATATATTTATATATGTGTCCGTTAGCGCGATAACTTGAGTAAAAATCATCCGATTTTGATTAAATTTGGTACAAACGTGTAAACCTACGTTTATTTGAACGAGTTCGCGAACCAGCATGATCGGACTATGGGAACAGGGGTTTATGGGGGGTTTTATGGGGCAAAAATTGGTTTTCCCATTTTTGACCCTAAAAACTTAAAATTTTGCTTTTTCTTTCCAAACCATTTTGTAGAGCTTAAAAAACAAATAATTTAGTATATTGAAGCGTTATTATGCGCCTAATGGTTACGGAGAAAATTCCAAAAAACTGTAAATTTAAAATTCCCATGTTATTCTTATGGAGAATAAGTAAACTTTTGTAGTTTGCTTGTGATCATATTGAGATCAAATTTGGAAAATGCATTCATTTCATACTAAACTATTAACATTATTAAAAAAAAAGAACACCTTTTTACCCTCACTGTTGCAGCAAACCTAAGTACTCGTTAAATTAAAATGTTATTTAAATATATCTATATAAATAAAATTAGAGTTTTGTCTGTACATAGCTCAGAATCATAAATTTTTTGGTTATACCGAACAATATACAACAACAATAAATACTTGGCCGAACAAGTCTCGTCTAAATTTCTGTCTGTCTGTCTGTAACACTTAAGATGGCATTTTACGCAATCTTCTCCAGGAAAACGAGAGTACCTATCAAGATCCAAGTCATTTTAATGTATTCACTGGATTGGTGAGAGTGTTTTTAGCCATTAAAATATGGCCTCAATACTTTGTAATTAAAATTACGGACATTATTCAAAAATGCAGTTTTGTGCGATTTTTGTCAAGTTTTTGTCCAATTTTTATCACATAATCATCTATGAAATAACGAACAGCTGTTCGGATCAAGATATTTTTTTCTAGCTGTCACTTGATATGTTTACAAATGTTGTTTACAAATACCGCAACCATTTTCAATCCCGTTTTGTTGGCAAATCCCATCCAAGTGAGATTAAAAACGTTTTTCTTACATAAAGGATTTAATTAATCGCAAGTGGAATAATATAGTGTAACCGTAAATTAAATTAAATAACTAGGCATCATCCAGGTCAGGAACCAGAGTGTTGTATACGGCTGGGAAACTTAAATTTATTAATGATCGTCGCCAATAGCTTAGAAACAAGGTTCCACTCATTGACAGCACTTCAATGGTGGTTGTGTAAAGTGTAAAGTAAAAAATCACAACTGCAGTGGGTGATTGTAACAGAGGTTTACGCATGATGCTAAACTCGATTTTACAATGTGTCACTTTCTGTTCCTACCATTGACTATATATAGTCAATAGTTCCTACTCACCGTGTGATGCAATCGCTGGACCATACAGCCAATAGGCCCATAGCCCATCTCTTGGGTACGTACGCTTACCCAATTATTTATAACAACCCAACGTTGTGTTATTTTTGTCACATTTCCGTCTAATGTTAATAGATATACCAATCATTGTTTAGGGAATACGTAATCTATTAAATAACAAAAAGTTGTTGTATAAGGTTGTTTGTTTTTTTTCAAACTGACACCGATAACTTTACATTAAGAGTTGTTTACAAATAAAGCAATTAATGGGAAATAACTTTGATTGCCGATAACTTTTTACGAGAAAATCCAAAACCAAGAGATCAATAACCTTGATTAACGCATATAATTGGTCGGATGTACTATAGTTCTTAACTGTAAACGTTGGTTTTTGGTACGGTACTGGTTCTTTTCCTTTGAACCGCTGGTAGCAGCAAGAATCATTTTTACGTACCAACACATCACTGTAATTTACAAATTAGTTATCGTTGGTGTTGCACCTTATTTATTACAGGCGTATTCAATTTAATTGATGTCTTATCTGTATAAGTTTTGCTTTTTCTGTCTGGATTCCAAAATGTTAGTTTATGCTAAGAAAACGATAACGTATTTTAGTAAAACATTTATTCAGCAAACCATCATGAATTGTTCAAACGCTTTGAGCGTTGTTTATGTATCAATAGTTTGTGGCCTATTTTGGTAATTTTTATTATAAATTACCAATCTAAATTGTCTATAGATTTACTGTACTTCATTTCATACAGCAATCCGATTCATATAGCATTTCCACAGAATTTCGGGTCATCTTCGGTCCAAGCAAATATAAATTGTTATCATGAAATTTTATGACATTAACAAATATTTCAAATACTAATTTTATATGTACTTTGTTATGCTTAAAGCTTAACAAATTCCCTAATTAAGTTCTATATTTTTGCGTGTATGTCTGTTGGTAACGCATAAATGTCCTTATTTCTCAGTGTTTCACGGAAAGTACAAGAGCACATTGATAATGAAAATGTCAACCCGAATAAAGTGTTAAATTGTGAGGTTGAGATAGAACCTTAAATACTTTTAACCATTGTGGAAGGCCTACCTTAGGGCTATGTCTTATAGATCTATAAAGCATTTTTTAGTTTAATAATTGGATTTGACATATGGACCAACAAGATCCGGACATATGGACCAGCAAGATCCGGGTGACATTTAATTGCGAAGCATTAGTTTTGGCTTGAAACTGTCAGAAACTGTATTTGCGAAGGTTTATATATAATAGTTTTGTCAGCATATCTGAAAGTATGCAAACCAACTGCTGTGCTTTAAGAAGGTGATAAGACCTATAAGACTATGATAAGATACCCGTGCGTAGAACGGGCACACAGCTAGTAGGGAATAAATGTGATATTTTTAAGGAGACATTTTAGTGTAAATCCAATCAGGCAAATAGAAATTTGTTTAGTCTGCAGGTTTGCTGCGGCGGGTGTATTTTTATTTATATAATAATTTTTATTTTTTTTAAAGAGGTTGGCGACCTTTTTTGACCTTGCATTAGCCCGTCCACATAGACTAAGCGCCCGTGCGTGGATCGTTAACAGCAAGGCAAGGAGTGAGCCGTTACAGTAGAAAGGTGAACTGTACTGATAAAATGTTATCAGCAGTGACCAGGATCCGAACCCACATCGCTGCCTTGGGCCCGAAGTCCGCGACGCTACCGACTGAGCCACCGACTCAATAAAAAAATTGTGACATACAGTAGACTCCCTCTAGTTCGGCTTCGGTTGGATCGGCCGCCGGATGGTCCGGCCTGGTCTCAGGGGGACAAGTCACATCGTCACGGGTGAATTGCCTTCGATAGGATTTAACTTGAATGTTTAGTTTCCGGCCATAGAAGTAAACAATTCATGTCAGTTTAGTTGACGGGTGCTTCTATGGGTGAATTGTTGCATATTACTTATGTAAAACTACAGTACACAACTTACATAACCTCAAAAATACCGAGAACATTTTTAAATAGTTTTTCTTCGGTCTAATAAGTTGAAATGCAGTGTATAATTAAATATTTCGGACCATTTTTTTATGCGGTAGGTTCCCCCATTATTATTTTTGAAACACCACAGTTTATTTGACAAAAATAAACTAAAGCAAAACAAAGAAATAGCCATCGTTAGCTTCAAGGTCAAGCTATCCGCTTGCACTGACAATCATCTGTTCTTTACACAACTGATGTCTGCTGTGCACTTGTTTGCTATCTCACAAAACAGTTTGTGATTGGGTGATTAGTAACCATGGCAACTTGTTGAATGTGTGGATGAAGAGAAACCAAAGAAAGAATAGAAGAACAAAGAAAGAATAAGCAGTGTTTTGCGTCATCTATTGTTATCTTTATCTTATTTGACGACTGTCGTTATTATCTTTAAGACTAGTTGTCTAATGTTTTCATCGACTTTCTTATGTTCTGAAACAACATGTAGTAGTAGCCTATGCTGACTACGGTAGCAGTAGCTTGCAGTACTAGACTTTCTATTTTTCTGTTCTTTACGTGATTTATTGCTGTACGTTCAGTGTTGTGTAATTTTTGTTTTGCTTGAGTAAGCGTGATTTTAATGTTAAAGTTTTTATTACTGAACCAAGGTTATTGACTTAACATATCACGATTGCGCAATACTATTATTAGTATTTTGATTATGTAAAATGCACTACAACCGGTTAGTCCGGCCGTTTTGTAGTTCGGCCAGTGGTCTGGTCCCGAGGTGGCCGAACTAGAGGGAGTCTACTGTATTAAAAAACTAAAAAAATCATTGACATACTAAAAAAAACATAGTAAAAACCCGCAGTAGTTTAGAAAAACATATACTATGATAAAGTTTTAGATTAATTAAGCCTGCCACATAGTTGTGTAAAATATTATATTTAATTTCTTTGGATCAGCTGTCTGAAATTGTGAAATAAGCAATTTGGCAATTCTTCTGGTTTACATTGAAATGCCAAAGCAAATTTAAACATTGTGATTGTTCTCATTAAAACCATGGAGACCAATCAATATTTACTTTTAAAATCCTCACCTCAGAACAGTATTTTATTTCAAAGAACCAAAGCAAGTAGATATTTGTTAATTTATTATTGCAATTCTACTATTTTCTTTGCAGATTTTTGTTGCGAGTTGGTTCAAATTTAGATGTTGTCATAAATGTAAAAAATTATATTTTAAATAAAATATTTCAAAATTATTTTATTCCTTTTAAATATGATTACTCATAAGGTTGACATGGGAAACTCCAGAGCCACTGGGACGGAGCCCGAAAGGACTTTTGAGATAAGAATGAGTCTATATGTTAATCGGGAATGTGAGCTATCATCACACCAAATTTCAGCCCAATCCGACCAGTATTTTTTGCGTTTACTTGTCACAAACATACATACATACATACATCCATCCATACATCCAAACTTTCTCATTTATAATATTAGTCGGATAAATAAACTGTTGTAATTTGCTTGTTTATGGATATATTTTAATACTATTTGGCCATTTAATATTTCATAATAAGCTATCAACATTTCTGTAAAAAAAAACCTCAATACCTTCCCTGTAGCAGCAAACCTAAGTATAAGTACTCATAAAAATTGATGTTATTTAAATAGGAAAAATGAATCTGACAATTTTAAGGGAATATTTTAGTAGAAATTCAGCCAGGCGAATGGAAATTTGCTTAGTCTGCAGGTTTGCTGTGGCGGGGGTATTTTTTTTTAATCTTGCTAACTAAGAAATGAGAATGTCATCTGTTTGACCAAAATTGCTGGAAATGTGAAATGATCTTATGACAATAAATTTTTATTATTATTAAAACATGGCAAAACAAATAATGCATTTAAAAATATATACTAAAATTGAAAGGTAGCCTACAATTAATTATATGTTGACAACTGATCTGTACAGGAGAAGCAATGAGCATTGCTGCTAGAGAGTTTGCAGATGATCCGTGTTCGTCTCTCAAGAGAGGCAACATGGTAAGAGCGGCTCGCAACTTGCTGTCTGCCGTCACCCGACTGCTGATTCTTGCTGACATGGTCGACGTCCACTTGCTGCTCAAGTCACTCAGAGTGGTCAGTGAACAAACTTACGTGGCATATTTTGTACAGGCATTAAATCATTTTTTATTTTTATGTTACCATGGCTTGGATTGTTATTTGAAAACCGGGTGTTAAAAATGTGGAGTTATTTTATTATTAGTTACTCTGTGTTGATGCCACATCCTATTTAGGCCTGCTTTCACAAAAAAGTATGAATAATTTAATAACATTTTTATTATAATTTTAAGGATTTCAATTACTAAATACTCGAATATTGGTACCTGGAGTCAAAGCTTTGCTCAGGAGAAACTAAGAAATAAACCCTCGGAGCCGTTCTTGCATGGTAAGCCTAGACTATTTATCAAATATTTGTTCCAAAATTATATATCTACAGGGTGTCTACCAACCGGGAAATCCGGGAAAACCGGGAATTGTACTTAAATTTTTACTGGCCATGAAATGTACGGGAATTGTCCTTAAATGCTAGACTATGTCCTTAAATTTTTAATGGGCCATAATTTTATTGATCGCTAGTTGGTTAGGAGCACATAAAAGGTTTATCAGATGTTTGTTTACATTTTCATAATTTATTACTAGAGTAATTATGCAATAAAAATCCCATTAACAATCTCAAACCCATTAATATTTTATCACGACAATCAAGTGTCAAGTCAAGTACTTCCAAGAACTGTTGACTCAGCAGCTAGCTCATAAAAGTTGTATCACTTTTATTCATTTACAACTTCTTTTTTTATTACTAGGGTAATTATTATTAGATCCCAAACATATTTTATCTTGAAAATAATAGCTTTATAATGGCTGTTAAATTTCACTTCTTACTTGTACTTTCGGAAAGCCGCGGCCATAAAACTGTTTGTGGTTTCATACATGTAAATAATCTACAGTCTTATTTTGTAAGTTAACCCCTTTTTTATGGACATTTTATCTTTCAATTGACAAAACCACAAGCATTGTTGTTTGCATTAATGTTTTATCACTATGTAGGCCTGCTTGGTTTCAAATTATGTCATTGCATTTTCTGTATCTTTGTCTTATATTGTTGGCTATTCAGGTTTCTATGTTTTTTGTTTCCCATATATTTATTTATTGAGTTGTATGCTTTAAGCAATCAAAATCTTATGAACTAGAATGATGATAGTGACTTTGCTGCTATTATAACCTCATTGTTACTCAGTTTATATAGGCCCTCCTAAATAATTAGGTCTAGGCCTGGGTATTTTGATTCTTGAAAGAGCTGTAAAATATATTAAGAAAATGTAATTGAGCCTAAGATAAACAACTAATGATTGCTATGTGTCGATATTATCTTTGCAAATTAAAATACAATAATCTTACTCTGTGCTTATCGCTTATTAATAGCCGCTTACCAAACCTTGAAGAATTGAGTTTAACAATATGCATTAAAGATTTTTTTTCAAAAGTAGTCGAGAACCTAACGTTGTGCCAGGGCGAATCATGCCAAATTAATCGGCCTGGATCGGATAAGCTATGTTATGAAGTTTGCGTGACTGATGGAGATATTTGTCGCTATCGCAGGAGACAATGATTGCGTTTCTCTGTTACACTATAAAAGCTTTACCTAAAGTATAGGTAGGCCTATGTTTGTTTACTTTCAATAAATTTCTATTTTGTTATTTTTAACTCTTATCTATTATTATTTACTTTTCTCTCTGGTACAACTACAGTGAATAACAAGATTAATACAGTTTGACAAATCAGGAAAATTATTCGGTAGGCCTAATGACACCGACAAAGGTTACGGCAAAGTGTCCTTAAATGTACGGGAATTGTCCATGAATTTTTTATCCAGAATGTAGTAGACACCCTGATCTATAATAATTCAAAATAGAGTATTGTAGTTGCCTTGATAACTCATAATATGAGTTATCAAGGCAACTACAATACTCTATTTTAAATGAGAAAAAAATGACAGAGTGGACAGACAGACAAACAGACGGACAGAAATTGAGATAAGACTCGGTTTCGGCTTTCTTATGCTATGAAACGTAAAAAAAACCAAAAACTGCACGAATCTAAGCAATGTACAGACAAAACTGTAATTATATATACTGTAATTATATATATTACAGTTTTGTCTGTACATTGCTTAGATTCGTGCAGTTTTTTTTTTACGTTTCATTTTTTTTTACGAATTTGTGTTGTTAAATGCGAAGCGCGACTGATCATTAATTTAACTGCTTCGCTAAGGAATCTGAGATATTAGGCAGGGATTCGTATCCAAATATTTATCTTGATATTTTAGTGATTAGTGAATTTGATTGATAAAAAAGATGTCTTGTAGATATGTATCAATTTCCTATCTAACACAATTTAAAACGCCGGTGAGAATAACTTAAATAGGATCTAATTTTTGTAATCAAACCCGTCATGATGTAAATGTTTTGTTGTAAGAATTTATAATCAAATATTTATTTGGAATTAAGAAAGTGTGATATTTTATCAACAAATAAATAAATTGATTTATCCACACATCAAAAATAAATTTTAAGCTATTGAGTATGGTAGAATACATCCACCTAACATTTTGAAACTAGTGAACGAGCTTGAAATAACGATTACACAAAACGGCCAAAGCAAATAAAAACTGCAAAATGTGCTCAGAGAAAAAGAGAAAGTGAAATGACCGAACATGGAGGGTGGCAGAGTGTTCGTTCAGTTTGGGTAAGGGCATTGCCTGCAACACAATGCCCCACAACCCCTAGGCTACACTATGATTTACAACAACTAATCCTTAGTATTAACCAATCTTAGTTATAATGTATCTTAGTATTCATTAATATTGACACCATTCTATGTACAGAGTACTAATATTGAATAAAGATTTGATTGATTGATTGATTGATTGATTGATCTGTCTGCTATAGGGAAACAGGCACCAGTTGATGTGTCAGTAATAAAGTGATTATGAGACATTGCTGCTGTAAAACGTTATATATTTGATAGGCCTATGGTAAGCCTCAGTTTTAATTTATAAGTGTGATATAACTGTTACACGTCCTTTAGTTCCATTATTAGTAAATGTTATATTTATAATAAACTATTGCCATAGGGGCTCAGCCTGTGATCGATTTACTTTTTCATTTCGATGTCCCCAGAGACCAAAACTCCATCCATTCTCATTAAAATATATGTATCTATACTACGGTATTATAAAACGTGGTGGTGAGAGTCAGTCTGTCTCCACTATATCACATTCATTTTTGGCAACCGCTAAAAATGTTAAACCGATGTAGTCAAAATGAAGTACGAATATCTATGAATTCATATTTTTCCTGTATTCAGCATCTACAGGAAACCTACAGCCACTGATACCACCATTCATGAAACTTCCCATTAGGGATGGACGGGATTGAATTTTTGGTTCAGAACGGGACGGGATTTTTATTTCCTTCCCGATTTTCGGGACGGGACAGGATTTTTTACTGTGCAAAAAAAAGAAAGTCTTGAGTATTGCAATTACCAAAAAAGACCAACGAAATCAATTTTTACCGTTTGTGGCACTGATCTATAAAAACCAAAAAATGGGCAACAATTTACAGGTACCTATAGAATCTTGTGACTCGCGGTGTGATCGTCAAAATGACGTATAGCTCGCGGTCACGGCATGATCGTCGGTATGACTAACGGTCATGGCATGATCGTTGGTATGACTCACGGTCACGGCGCGATCGTCGTTATGACTCCGCGGTCACGGAATGATCGTCGGTATGACTCACGGTCACGGAATAATCGTCGGTATGACTCGCGGTCACGGCATCATCGTCGGTATGACTCACGGTCATGGCATAATCGTCGTTATGACTCACGGTCACGGCGTGATCGTTGGTATGAATCCGCGGCCACGGGGTGATCGTCGTTATGACTCCGCGGTCACAGCGTGATCGTCGGTATGACTCACGGTCACGGAATGATCGTCGCTATGACTCACGGTTACGGTGTAATCGTCGGTATGAATCCGCGGCCACGGGGTGATCGTCGTTAGGACTCCGTGGTCACGGCATGATTGTCGGTATGACTAGCGACCACGGCACGATCGTCGGCATGACTCGGCGGTCACGGCGTGATCGTCGGTATGACTCCGCGGTCACGTCGTGATCGTCGGTATGACTCACGGTCACGGAATGATCGTCGGTATGAATCCGCGACCACGGGGTGATTGTCGTTAGGACTCCGTGGTCACGGCATGACCGTCGGTATGACTAGCGACCACGGCACGATCGTCGGCATGACTCGGCGGTCACGGCGTGATCGTCGGTATGCGTGATCGTCGGTATGACTCCGCTGTCACGTCGTGATTGTCGGTATGACTCCGCCGTCATGGCGCGATCGTCGGTATGACTCTGCGGTCATGGCGCGATCGTCGGTAGGAGTCCGCGGTCACGGCGCGATCGTCGGTATACTCTACGGTCACGGCGTGATCGTCGAAATGACTTTGTCTCCTGCTTTTGCAGACCTAGTGAACATCTCTCGCAATAGCGGCGTCATCGTCACTCGCGAAGCGGCAAAATCGCCGACGATCGGACCAAATCCCGTCCCGAAAAATTCACGAATCAAATGTAATCCCGTCCCGATAATCGGGAATATTTTTTTCCCGAAAAATTCCCGAAATTTTGGGACCCGTCCATCCCTACTTCCCATCACCCCTTCCAACACAAGATAGCAGCATACAATAGTTTCAGTCATGGAATGCTCACCGTCCCCCTAAACCCCGATGATTATGAAAAAGAGATAAACATAATTAAATACATCGCCGTCTCAAATGGATACAACCCTAAATTGATCAATAATTTGACCAATAAACAAATAATCAAGAAAAAAGCCATTACTAGCACTGATAACAATAAAGAGCGAATGGAGTATGTATCAGTTGAATTTGGAACCAACCTCTCCCATACATTGAAAAACCATATGAAAAAGCATGGCAAAATTGTAGCCTTCAAAACATCTAACAAACTCCAAAATCTCCTTTCCGTAAAAAATACACCACAGGA